CTAAAATTGTTTGCAAACTCAAAAAAAAAAAAAAAAAAAAAATGTATTTTCTTTTTCTTCCAGCACTTCAGATGCTCCTAGAGAAAAAACTACAGTACTTGATCTAGCAAGCTCAAATTTTAAACTTAAGCCTCTCTCGTTATCAGCGAGGTGCTGGGAAACTTCCGGGTTGATAGTTCAAAATTCACAAGAATTCCCTTAGAACTATTTTATTTTTATCGTTTAATCTTATACTTATAAGGATAAAATTGTATAGAAACAAATGAATTTTATTCAAGATGTTACCCAGAATAACAAATTTATGCGAACTAAAACTTTTTATAACGATATTAACCACGAGATAGAATAGAGTGTCAGTAGCAGTGTTTACAACATCACTTTTGGAACCTTATTTAAGAGAAGGAAACCATGAGTTTCAGAGTAGAAAGAAAAGCATGCCGTAAGAAATAATTATGCCACATTTTATGCTGCTGTCGATTGTACCAACAGTTACAAGAAAGGTTCAGGAATTTCATTTCACAATTAAGTAATAATTGTTAAATGAAATTTTGTTCACACCGTACTTTTTTACGTTTAATAAAATGTTAAAGTAAATGAAAAGTGTCGAACTTACTTCGAAACGCTGTCTAATTTATAAAAATTTAAATAGTTAGAAATGTTTTGGATAGAAGCCTTATAAATACAGTAGAGCGTCGATTATCCGAATCAATTGGGGACTGGGGTTGTTCGCAAGATCGATGTTTCGGATAACCGATTACGTACGAAAAATATACTGTATTAATTTATCCCATCTTGACATTTTTGTCCGTTGCGTGTCGCTTCGCGTTGAATTTTCGTCGATGTTAAGCCTAACGTAGACTATTGTATCGTTAAAAATTATTTTTTTTTATTTTGTACAACAAAATAAATATATTGAAAAATATAAAAACAATAAAAAGACTATACTTCAGAAGTTAATTTAGTATCAAAAACATAAAATATTTGAGTAGCCCAAGACATAGCCAAAGATTGCAGCGCCACAGCACTGGCGAAAATTTAAATTTGCCGACTGGAATTCTTTGGGATGATTGACTTTCGGATAATCGACGCTCTACTGTATCAAATTATGAATTTTAGAGCGGTTAATATCATTGATAAAGTAAATCAGATTCTATTCTTGTGATACTGAAATTCAAAATAAAAATTTTTCTTTATCAGATTTCCACTCACTGACGAATCCCTTCTTAAGAAATGGCTTATACTAATGCGACGCGATCGTTGGAAACAAAACAATAATAGTGGAATTTGTTCATCTCATTTTGAAGAAGCATACTTCAGTTATAATAATGGTTGGATATTTACAACCAAATTCTGTTCCTACATTTTTTTTCATTTCCTCCACATCTTCAAAAAATCCCTGCAATAAAACGTTCAGAAAGAAAACGAACATCTAAAGACTACAGTATTTCAGAAGCATCTAAAGAAAAAATTGCAAGATAGAATATGAAGTATCAGTCTCTTGTGATCACACATATTGTTTACCATCTCCAAAGAAGGTGCATGGAATGTGCAAGAAAGACAGAAATGTGAACAGCTACAAAAGAAACTTAAGTATAGCAGCATAGACATTAAGTAGATCTGTAAGTAATGTTTATATATTTTGTTAAGAAATTTGCATGGAAGGCATTAATAATGTTGATGCAATTGCTGAATTCACTTTGAAAGTAAATGATATATTTGACCTGCCTAATTCTTGTCACCCAATGGAGAGATAGACAGAGTCCATTCATGAACAGAAACAAAGACCAATGTTTGTGAATTATTAATGAAAGAATTGATTATTTCATTAAATTGAATGATTGTAAAAACTGTCCACTTCTTAAAGGAAGAAGAAAGATTCCAATAATTGGTCTAAAAATTGATTTAAAAAATATAGAACAAATAGCAAATCATGTTTGGAGTGAAAAGCCATTATTAAATTATCTTCTAACAAAAAATTCAGACAAGATCACACTGAGTTATTTTTTTCTGCAATTAGAAACAGAGGTGGTAACAACAATCCCACAGCATTGCAGTTTAGATCAGCATTTAGGAAGTGTTTGTTAGAGTTTCTCCATCTCCAAAAGCTAATAGTCAATTGAACTGTATAGTTATCCTTCCATTTAGCATTTCTAATCAAAAGTATATAGAAAAGCAAGATTTACATAATAATAAAGATACAATATATAATCTGCAAAATATTTTAAAATGTCATCATTCTTATATTCCACAATATGAACCAGTAACACACTATTCTGAAAAAGTACTCTAATAGAATATATTGCTAAAAATATTGTAAAACTGCTAAATGTTTTTCCTGCGTGAAGCTTTTGTTTGGAAATAAAACAACGAATATCTTAATATTTATGAAAGATCAAGGTGGTCTATATATTCCCTCAGATAATTTCAGAAAATTGTTTTGTTATTGAAAATGTTCTCAGAAGAACCTTTCCAGTAGGAACAAAACCAGGAAAAAATTGGATTATGAAGTTGCAATATGAACCACAACTATACCCAGCAGAAAACAATTAAATATGTAATCCAACACCTTATTTTTCGCTGAGAGATTATTTTTAATTAAAACAAACGTTTTCGATCCATTCATTGGATCATCCTCAGGCTAAATAGAACACTTCATAAATAGAACTACTCGTTTAAATATTCAAAAATACAAATAAACCGATAACATAAAAATAAATAATACTTGTAAATAATNTTAACTACAAAAAAAAAATTTGATATCCAAACAAAAACATCTGAGATGTAAAAAATAATGACAATTTAGATAACTTTTCTTTGGAGTTTTTGTTTGGTAAAGATGGTGCTTCAAAGCAAAATTTAAAAAACAATAATAAAAATCATGGGTACTGCTTTGAAATACCCAGCTTATCTTTACCAAAGAAACATTCCCAAGAAAAAATTTGACTGTCATCTAAATTGTCATAATTTTTTACTTGATGCAGTTTTTTAACAACTCAAATGTTTTTGTTTGCATCTCAGTATATAAGGAAGAAAGTTTGTAGAATTTCGCTGGATGATAATTTAATCAAAAAAGACAGTCTGTCCAAAAATATTTTTTGAAGCCATCATTTATTCTATTCACGTGTTCCAGAACACTTTCAACGACCGGACCTTTCTTTAGAGGCTACTAGGCCATCAGGTTAAAATATTCCTTAAAAAAACACACAAAAAATATCCAATTAAAACAATAAAGAAGTAGCCTCTAAAGAAAGATCCAGTCGCTGAAGAAGTTCTGGAACACGTGAATAGAATAAATGGTGGCTTCAAAAAATATTTTTGGACAGATTGTGTCTTTTTTGATTAAAAAGAAGAAAGTTGTTTGTTTGTTCTTTATGAGCCTACATTTTGAAATGGTTTGAGCAAATGCAATGAAACTTTTCAGGAACCACCCTCTCATCCAAAAGGTCAGACTACTTTTGGTTGAATTAACTTCAATCCCATGCCATCAACAAGCCCCTCTTTCTATCTAATCAGCGAGATAAGTAATTTTTCTATATGAATGCCACTAACATAAAGTTATCAGCAAGTGCAAAATGTTTTTAATGTTTTTGATGATTCCAAGTTTAAAATTTTGATCCATTTTTCGTGAAATTTGATTGATTGGCCAGTTATCATTCAGCTGTGAATGGTTAGAATTTAACATTAGAAAAAATTTGGATGTACTGAACAGATTTAATTATCTTCTTGTAATCTATGGCCAAGCTATCTAGTCTGGATTATGCATTACATCAAATTTGATTCTGTGACATCTTCATGCCAATCAGTGTAAGGTAGCAATTTACTTTTGTGTCGACTGTATATTAAAACATTGGAAAACTGTCATCCAAGTTTCACATTTGCCCATTACAATTTCTCAACGTGTGGAACTTGTATCACATGGCACACATCCAACCAATACTCAAATTCTTCCTATGCTTATTACAGCATATCCATTGTCATTCTTCTCACAGAAGCTGCAATTCTACAACTGCTGCAGATTACTCAAGTTGCACAATGATGGGTGATTCAGACTTTGCAAAGTGCAGACTGCAGAACACAAAATAATTCAATTGCAGGGCTGCCATTTTTGTTTACGGCACTTCCTAGAGGTAGTAGACAAGACATTTCAATGCAGAAGGAAGATGAAACTTAGACAGTTACTTCTAATTCATTACTCTAGCATTCATTTTGGAAACCCTGTGTATATATATTATTTTGTAAAATTACACATATAATACATTTGATGTACAATTAAAAGAATGCTTAATTTGTTAGCTCATTATGCAGAATATGCATGAAACAAAATGCTGTTTTATGCATACTATCTCTAGAAACAATGATTTCATATGAATTGGTAGATTATACGATTGATCAGATTCAAAGATCAGAAATGAAAATGGAAATTGTGAATACTGATGGAAAAAAAAATTACTGTAGAATTAAGACTCTTCCACATTTATCTAGAAATTTGAATTTAATTGTATGACACAATAATATTTTTTTAATATTTAATTTTTATTTATGTAAATTCCAAATTAATACATTCAAAATACCAATGACAGTTTTTACATAAATTGAAATTAAAATTTTGAATTTTTCATTAATAGAAGAAAATTTTAATACACAAGTTAACAATAATTTTATACAACACTAACAAATATTAGTGTTGTATTTATTAAAATTAAAAGAGTGGACTACTTCAAAATTAATATAACGATTCTTCAATATTGATGAGAAGCATTTACTTATATACATAATAATATGTATTTTATATAATGTATGCATTAAGCTAAGTTTTAAATTATAATAAAGTAATTTTAAAACACAATTTGAACATATGAACAAAATTATTTACAAATACCTGTATGAAGTATATTAAATATACTTTTTCTCATATCTTTTTGCGATCAGATATGGTATATTTTTCATAATTTCTTGTGGGATCATAAGGTTCCCATCTAGAAGCAGGAAATATATGCTTATTGCGTTCATACCAACTTCGTAAAAGAACTTTTCCAGCATGAGACTCATCCTTCTCAACAGTGGCATCTCCCACCAAACGAATGTCATCATGAACATCAAAACTAAATAGGGGTCCACTTTTACCTCTTGCTTTTGTCACAATAAAATCATAAAATGTGTAGTGATGAGGTATAATTAGATCTTCTTTCACATACATTAACTGATCACCAGTAACAGCTCTCAATTCATGGAATTCCTTTCGCAGAATTTCTAAACATTTCTGTTAAATAAGAAAATGTTTTATTAATTAAAATTTTATAATTAAAAAAAAGTTTACTAATAAGGAAAGTATTTTAATTAAAAAGAATACTTTTGAACTAATCAATCCAAACTATTAAACTATCCAAATTAATTATAGGATAATTTTCAAGCTTTTGTCTAAATTGATTATTAATTTATTAGTAAATGCCCTTTCTAATGCAAACTGTTTATACCAGTGGTGTGCCATCATTAGAAGCGGTGGAAGTGCTGCTTTCCTTGCATTTTATAAAAAATAAATACAGTACATACTAATTTTAATTATATGAAAATAATCGCACATTATTTTATTATAACCGCATCATGTATCTTATTACAAATTTCTATACTACACGTGAAAAAAAATAATAATAAGATTGCTATTATATATTCGAATATTAGTGGCGGAGTGGAATCTATGTATTGTCATATTCCAAAAAGCCAGATTTGCACATGCACTTTACAGAGCACCAACCTCACCTGGTTTAGCCGGTGGAAGCCTACGGAGAGAGGGCGCTAAATGGCTTAGTCAATGGATGCAGGAAAATTTTGCTCTGTATTCGAATTGAGTTTTTGCTGGAATTTTTACTTTAAGCTCTAAGTGTTATATATTTCTGGATAGCATTTTCCGTGTGGATTAAGAATCTGTTAAGTTTTTCAACGTACGACAATTTTTCGCGAAGTTATTAGTTTTTGAAAACTGAATACTTTTAAAATTTTCAACATTCTTCTACAACGACTGTCNTATATATAGATAAGCCTACATATATAAAATATACAGACGTATAAATGACATAATATGACAATCTAACATATTAAGAGTTTAAAATATTGATACTTATAAAAAAAAAACTTGTATAATCCCTTTCGCTATCTAAATATTAAATATTCTATTAATTTCATTAACGAAATAATTTACTTAACACGAATAAAATGTATGATATGCTAGTCAATAAAGAACAATAAGAGTAAAATTTTGTTATTGTCAGTAATAAATCGCATAATAAATGGCAAATTATAAGGGAAATTATACGATCTTACTTTACAATTCTCTGAAAATAAAGCTGAACTTCCATAGCCATAGATGTATGACTAATGAGGATCACAATTCAAACAATTTATTGTAAGTGTTAAAGAGAGATTTCGTGAGCTTTATGATCTACTTGTTTATTCAATCGTTACAAACCACACCCTAAATACAATTCTATCTGATACAAATCCCTTTTGTACAGAAAAAGAAAAATGGATCAGATAACGTGAGAGTTAATTATTCCTCCTATCCTGATATAAAATTAACAATTTTCTCCCTTGATTACTATTCTTCAAATATAAATTATTTTGAATCATTTAAATTCATTTACATGTAAATTAGAAAAATACAATGTTAGAAATTTTGTTTTGAATTTATTGAATTACAGTTGTTACTATCTATATTAAATTTAAATATTTGTTTTCAATGTAAAAAATTATTTTAAGTACTTAATATATCTACGAAGTGTCTACTTGTTTTTAATGAAAATAGTAAGAAATTCTATATTTTTAATGTATTAAAATTTATCTTGATGAATGTAAAACTTTAAAAGAATTGTTTTCATATGAATGTACTTTATCTCAATGTGTAAAGCCAAGAATTCTTTAACTTTGATTTATTCGGATTTAACTTCATTTTTAATTAATGTAATAAAAATAATATTATTATTTTCCTTATTCAAATAGTTTGAAATATTGTAGAAAGTATCAATAAATGTGTTAATTAAAACGATTTAAATTTAGCCTATAACTTTAAGATAAAATAATCGGATCATGAGATAATATTTTATTTGTTGAGAAGTAAGTAGTTAAAGTTTTAATTCAATAATATGATATTAAAATCCAAGAAATTTCCTGAAAGTTATGTAAATTTAGGTAAAAAAAAATTTCTTCATGAACTATATTATCGAAAGAACTTCGATCTAATCATTAAAATTAATATATCATAAAATTTATCTATATAAAAGCAATTTATATTTAATACTTTCATTTGTGATATCTCTGACAAAGAAAGGAAAAATAATATCTCTACGATCTAAAAGAAAAACATGCATAGGATTTTGCTCCATGAATTTGGAACACAAGATATCAAAGAAAGTTATTGCGGACATAACCTCTTTTTTTTATTTAATTATGCTAAATTAAGAATTAATCCATTCAATTCATCAAAACATTCTCAAACTTGAATTTTTTCACTTAAATAATGTATATTATTTGAAAATTATTTATTTAACATTTCAATAATCGTATGGATTACGTATTATTGAATTTATTTATTTACTTTTTTTCTAAATTTTTGTTTTTTAAAATTTAAGCAGATAGATAAAGTTAAATACTTGTGTTTCTTTTCAGGAAAATATTTTTTTACAGCGGAAAACGTTCGAAAACTAAACCTAATGTAATAATTTTTTTTTTAATTTTGGATTTTTTTATTTATTTGTAAAATCCCGTTCTTGTAATCGCTTGTTTGTTAAGATGCCTGTTGCTTATAGCTTTAAAAAACATATTTACATAACTTAGAGCAGGCCTATTTAAAACAGATTCTACAAAGTTTTTAACAGTTTTATTCAGATTCCTTCGGCATACGTAACAACATTTTCTTGTTCTTACCTCATAAATATATGAAACTACACTTTTTAATTACAACATTATTTTTAACATACATTTCTTATATATTTTATATTACTTTATATACATATATATATATTAAAATGCTTCGCAATGTCGGTATTGATAGAGATGAGAATTGTAATTTCCATTCTCGTATATTACTGGTACATAATAGAATTATCATTTGCGAGAATGAAAGTATTTTACGCCAATTTACGAAAAACTTGATAAATTTATTTATTTTTCATAGAATATGTGTATTTTTCTAGAAAGTATTACTACAAATTCTAGATAAAATAGTTTATTTAAACAAAATATGTCGAAAAAACTAGAATCTAAGCATATTTACTATTAGTATAATATTAAGTATAATAGTATATATACTATTATCATCTATCGAATATCCGATGACAAGTTGAAAAACATAATTATATTACTGTATTATATAAAAATTACAAAAAAAATTAATCGACTTGTAGAACAATCAAAGATTCTAAAAACTTATTTGCAACACGTGAATATTCAGAACACTCAACACTAATACTATACTATATAAATGCTTTATAATGTGTACAGTACATACGAATAAAATACAAAGCATATTATGCATCTATAAAAGTTTTAAATATACAATTTAAAATATTAGTAAAGATTTAATTAATATTTATTTTAAGAAACACCTTTG